TTACAGCCCCGCCCCCGTTGTAGCCGCTGCCCCCATCGTCACCCCCGTCTCCTCACAGTTCCGCGCCCAGGACGAGCTGGGACAGTTCACTTTCGCCACCGCTGGGGACAACCAGGTGAGTCAGTTTCGCTTCATCGTAGTTTGTCATCACACTTTTTCAAAAATTCAAAACTGTTTAAAATCTCCGAAATATTTTTCATTAAATTTTAAAATATTCATATGAAATTATATATACGTACCGTTGTACCTCTTCGTTCATTAACTTTGTGTGATCTGCTCAATGATAGTACAGTAGGTTATCTACAAACACTTCTAGTCTTCACGAAAAGAATACTTTCCTCTCATCAAAGCGAAATAGCTTTCATTCCCTTCATTTACTCGAGTCTACTCTCATTTCTTTCGCGTGAAGGATTGCTTTCTTTAGTATTTTCTTTGATTCAATGATAAACCATGGATAAAATTCAATGATAAACCATGGATCTCTCTCTTGAATTTAATTATATAATCTGATATATAATCCTAGTAACAATTCCGAAGTTTTTACGGCGCCCGTGATCATTCCTTTCCTACTTCTCCAATTTCTCCAGTTCAGGACCATCAAGTTACTTTCCTATCCTACCAGAAATATATACTACAAATTGTAGAACAAATTATTTTTAGAACTGAATTGCTATGCATAAATACAAATCAAGAACAATGCTTCATGTGGAATATTTTTAAAACTATTTTATTAATTTTCAGTGCTCAAAACTTTCATTATTGATTTTGCAATCTTTTCGGTCATTTTATAAACAGTGACATTAATGACCCGCAAAGGAAAGGATTTTAAGTTTTTTTCTGCTTATTTTGCAGAACTTTTAGTCCCCAATTTGTTTTCAAACTTAAAACTATTAAAATATAAATATCATAGCTCAAGTACAACGGAATGAAGATAAAGTAGTTTGTGCAGGAGAAATAATAAGTCAAAAAATATTTTGAGGTGCAGAGGTTAATGTTGCCGCATTC